CCCTATACCCTCGTCCATGCAGGTTGTCATGGCGGCGTAGGTCAAGCGACGTTCATCTTCGAATAAATCGCGTAGCGGCTCCTTGTACTCTTCTGGGACTTCCAGTGGAGCGTGTGGTGCTTGGTAGGAAAGAAATAGAAAAAGAGACTGAAGAAAGAAAGAAAAGATTTATTTCCATGATTAATATCGGATATAATATATTTTTAGATCACTCATATATACAAACAAGTTACAAATTGGATAGTCGAACTAGAAACTGTACTTGAAGCTTTGACTTACTTGTGAAATGAAAAATAAATTAAAACATTCAGAAAATAGCAATTGTCGAAAGAACAACTTTGGGTAACATAATTTAATATTGAAGAAATTTTTAAACCGAATATATTGTTAAATATCTTTTATTAGTTTTTATTAGTTTAGTTTAGAATTATTTATTATGATCAAAATTTTAAACCTGACTTCTATGTATTTCAGTGAGATTGGATGGCATTTTTATTTGTTTTGGGGTTAAGCCTACTAAATTGAACAAAAATGAATAAATAAATGAATCTCGACAGGTCTTGAATAGACAACATTAGGAAAAAGACTAGAATTGAACTAAACATATCATATTATTATCATTATATTATTATTATTATTATTATTATTATTATTATTATTATTATTATTATTATTAGTATTATTATTCTGTTGTTAATTAAGAGATATTACAGTAAAATCAAGTAAATTTTCTTATATGAAGTATTATATATAAGATCGGTAACAGAACAATTGAACAAGTACAGCATTTTTTTACCTTGGCCATTTAATCACAAGTGATGGTAGAAATGAAAGAGAAATTAACAAACGAATTGAAATATCTGGAGACTCATTCACTGCAATGAACTTTGTGTTTATATTTTTAAAAAGCATATCTCTGGAAACATGAAAACGTATTATAATGGTACATTTGGTCTACTACTGTATTCTGTATTGTGTGGAAACATGGACCGTCACCAATAAAATCATGCAGAAACTAGAGCTTTTGAAATGTGGGTATATTGGAGGATGTTGACAGTATGTTGGGATTGACAAGATTCCGAATACAGAAATCCTGCAGCGGATGAATACACAAGGAGTACATTTAAATATAATAAAAACAAGAAAACAAAGATATTTTGGCCACCTTATCAGAAAAGATGGATTCTATGGATTATTATATGAAGGCCACAATGGCAGTAAGGGAAGTCGGAGCAGGAAACAGTGAAATTGGTACACAAATATCACTGGGTCATCATGTCTTATTTAGAGACAGTGAGGAGAGTGTTGAATAGACACGAGTGGAGCGTCATTGACTCCAACCCTCAACAAGATTTGCCATTTTCTCCTTATTTCTATCAAAATAGGCTCGATCACTGTTAATTTAAATTGCATATATGCAGCCTACCTCATCATCCGGATGATTGTTTATAATGTCGATAGCTTTGTCTGTGAATAAATGAGTTGAGTAAGTTCCGTTTTCATTCCAGATTGGCTCATCATTCAGTCTTAAATCTAGTTGCCCTTTTGGTGTATCATGCGAGAAGAAGTATTCACCCCCTTGTAAGAAACCTGATAATGTTTAAAAAACATAGAACGGTCACTCTATAGTGTGCATACCTCCAGTGGCGCCTAGAGGTTTTGGAGCCCAGGGGCAAGAGTAGAAAATTGCGCCCCCTTCCCCCAATTATAAATATAATATAAAGATAAGCACTGTTCTAGCTCTCATATACACTGTAGTAGAAGTAGGTTCTTTCCTACCAGGGCTGGCGTCAGGATTTGCCTGACGGGGGTGGGGGTGGGGGGCGATGCCCCACCGAGGGGAAGATTTTCTGACGAGAGCAAACAGGGAGTGGTCGAGCGTTGCTTAAAATGTTCCGAAGGTGGTCTAGAGGTGAGAAGCCTCCGCAAATTGTTGACAATTTATGGGTTTCAAAGGCTCATTTAATCGATTTTAGAGTCTACTAAGATGTACAAAATACATTAAAAAAAACTTCTCTCCGACGAATTATGGTTTTTCTCCCCGCCGAATTATGGTTTTTCTCCCCGACCGGGGGAGGGGGAGGGGAAGCTAACCCTGAAGGGCCCTGCACCCCCAGGTCGCGCCACCCCTGTTTCTTACTACTGAAACTGCATTACGATGTTCGGAACTTTGTATACAACTTTACCATTATCCTAATTTGTAAGGTTGTATTTATCTCATACAGCTTAGTATTCTTATTGTCTCGTAAGTTGCTGTATTTGTAACATTTTTTAAAATGAATTTTGCGTGCTTTTGCATCTGCAAATAAGTTAATAACATGATCAAAGTTAGCAATGTTGTCCGCTTCATCGCGCTCAATAATAAGGAGTGCCAAAGCAGATATGTCACACTTGTCCCATCGTGGCCCTGAGATATGGTGAGATGAGCTTTTGTTCTGTAGTCATTACAGAATAGGATAAAAAAAAGAGAGAAAATGCTTGAAATTGACTGAAAAGAAATCACAATCTATAAAATTTGCCAATAAAAACAACTACATTCAGATTTTTTTTTATTATTAACTAGAAAATATTCATGCCTGACGACATACATCTATTTCATCATGCTTTTCTAAAAAGTGTTTTTTTTTAATTCTCATTCTCCCATTGCAGCGCCCCTCCCAAACCTGGCGCCCGGGGCACGTGCCCCCCCCCCCCCCCCCTTGACCCGCTAGCTACGCCACTGCATACCTCCACCTGTGCCAAAAAAAAATCGGACTTCCCGTGACCCTGACCTTTGAGCTTTTAACCTAAAATGACACAGAACTTGAAATCACATTAAAAACCTTGTGAGGAGCGGTACCGGTACATAATGGTTTAAGGAAGAGGTAATAACCCATTTCGTCTGGACTGAGCATGACCATATCAAGTTTGATCGAAATAAACAAACATACACACAACATAGGTTTATGTTGATTGATCTTGCATAGGGGGAGGATTGTAGTAAATCTATAAATGTTAGCTTAATAATCTCAGATTGCACGTGCGTACAGTCAAATTCTTGTGAACTCGAGAGGGAAACAAATTTTTACTTTTGACAATATTTTACGCATGCATAGGCCTATAAGCCATTTTGCAATTTCAACCTGAAGTGAACTGCTAAACAACGGCTAAGTGGCAGCATGGAGGTGGTGGCAGCGAGTTCGAGCCAGGGGTGGCATCAGCGGGGGGCCGGGGGCAGAGCTGCCCCCCCCCCCACCTCGTCGGGGAGAAAAAGCACAATTTGTCGGGGAGAAAAAAGAATTATATATATTTTCTACATATTAGTAGACTATAAAATCGATTAAATAAGCCTTTGAAACCCCTAAATTGCCAAACTTTTTTCTAGGGCTTCGCCTCCAGGACCACTTTCTATACCTTTTAATCGAAGCTCGACCACGCCAATTCACTCCCACGTTTTCGTCGGGGACATCGCCCCCCCCCCCCCACCCCCCGTCGGGCAAATCCTGGCGCCACCCCTGGTCCGAGCGAAAACGATCGCCCACCTGTTCCATGCCACAGTCTGGTAAATTGTTTTCAAATGGCATTCTGACAGAATTAATTATGTACCACATAACATTATTTTGTATACACAGTACATTGGCCTATATGTTCTGTATCCACACAACTATTTTTGTTTATAGAATTATTTTCCACACGAAACAGAATTTATTTTGTACCACAAAATTGTTATTTCTTATCTTTTTCTTTCGTCTATAGGGTATAAACAAATTGATATTGATATTGATATTAAAAATTATGGTCCTCTTTAAAGAGCATGATGATGATGATGATGATGATTATGATGATGATGATAATAATGATGATAAATAACAGTGATGGTATTTTTAATACGAATATTTAATAATTACAGTTTTGAATTAAAAACTTTACCGTAGAATGTGTCGAATCCCCTATAGTGGGGAAGACAATCGTGTTTGTAATGGCCAAGATGCCATTTACCAACTAAATGTGTTGCGTACCCAGCTTCCTTCAACTTCTGTGCTAGGGTGATTTCGTCGAGTGGTAGACAAGCAGGTTGATCAGGCTCCAGAACACCATGTTGTAGACCAGTTCGAATCTAAATGCAATGTTAACTTTGTTATAAAATATAGAATTATAAATACTGGTAACGTCCGTTTATTGAAATGAAATACCATATACAAGGTAAAACCAGGGAGGTAAAACTATTCCCCGCCGGACACCATCCTGGTATTTCTGAGTCGTGGTTTCGTGACCATTATGAATTATATATTAGGCTTAACCGTACTTAACTAAAAACTAAAATAGGCCTTCTATGGTAGAAAACTATTCCCCGCCGGACACCAATCCGGTATTTCAAGGTTTCGGGGTTCAGTAAAAATGACAGCGTGTACATGTACTGTTGACTGCACTTTACGTCTGAAATCAATGTGCATTTCTTTTGTTTTATTGACGTTCAGAACAAGGTCATTATCGTCACACCACTGAGACAGTTAAGACACATAATTATATTGTTCTATTTACATGAATTTCGATAGCTTTGAACCCCCTAGGATCGATGCCGCGTACCCCATAAAATAATCTAGCATACTAGTTAATTCCAGTCTTTTAAAGAAGCTATAATGTATTCTTTACTTTATTTTCAAAGCTTTACAAACATTTCAAACGAAATCAATGATTACAAATGCCTTTGTCTAAAATCGTAGGCCATGCGAGATGGTTGTTATATGTTAAATTATTGAATATAGACTTACTGAATATCTTCCTGTCAATAGTTCACCCCTGGTTGGCGTACAAACTCTCTGAACATAGTAGTTCTCCAGCTTCACACCCTCTCTTGCTAATTCATCCATTACTGGAGTTGGAAACTTGGAACCGTGATACCCAATGTCTCTATAACCGTGGTCGTCCGACATGATGAATATAACATGAGGTCTGGGCTTGGCTTTCGCGTGGGCAAGATAGGGGCAACAAAAGATGACGAATATGCTTAGGAGCAAGAC